TATGTCTTTAGAGAAATAATCTGAGTGTGACCAAGATGAAGCTGCTGGGAATGTACCTTTTTCTTTTATTTTCTCCTTTCTATTGGCCAAATAAGGGATACAAATAAAAACTTTATGCCAATGCAATGGAAACATCAAGAGCTTTAAACCCTGATCTTATGTTTTCTAATGCATGCTCATCTCCTATGTTGACTGCTTCCTTATACTGTGAGGATAAGTTCCTAACTGAGCTTGTTTGGAAATGGCTATGGAGATTCTCCAGAGACAATGGAACAAAAGAGAAGAATCCTCCCTCTTCACTCAGCCTTTATGCACACAGGAGCTATTTTTAATATTACAAATGAATACATATGGGGAAACAGACGCTGTCAGCAATAGGGTGTCAGCAGCATCTGAGACTGAAAGATGAAGGGAAGCGGGGCTGGCAGCTCTTCTGGGCTCTTCTGTGCCAGGCAAAGCAGCAAAGCCCCCAAACATCTTTACTGGACAATTAGCTGTTTGATATGTTTTGCTGCACTTGCTAGCCCCATTGATAGAGCTGGCCTTGCAAAGAAGTTAAATACAGCAGTGACACTCAGTGACACACTCAGTGACATTCTTTATCCCACAATTAGCAGTTCCTTCACAGCTCACAGTCCTGCTTATCAGATGTTGAAGGTGTGGCTGCTTTTGATTCTTTTTTTCCCTTGGTGACTTTACTAGATTTTGATCTAGGTCTGAAGTTCATAATTTGTGTCTGTATATTTTCATAAAACATCTGATTGAGGGCCAGATTCTGCTCCAGTTGCTCCTACACAGTATGATTCAAAAGTGTTGCATGGGAATGGTTTAATTTAGTTCCATTTAGAGACTTGAGTTTTGGCTAGGTATCAGGAAAAGGGTTTTCACCCAGAGAGTGGCTGAACACTGGAACAGGCTCCCCAGGGATGTGCTCACAGCACCAAGCCTGTCTGAGTTCAAGGAGTATTTGGTCCATGCTCTTAGCCACATGGTGTGATTCTTGGGGTATCCTAAGCAGGGCCAGGACATGGACTCAATGATCCTGACCGGTTCCTTCCAACTCAGCATATTCTATGATTCTATGAACTTTGTCATCCATACAGGAAGTCATCAGGGCTACAAAATTATATCTTTTATTTTCCTCAAATTGCTATTTGAGTGGAGAAATGACACTTTATTCTGACATTATTTTCCTAGATGTGTTTCTAACCTTGTTTTTCATGGAAGCAAAATTGTTTTTCAAGAAGCAAATACTGTTCAGAGAGGCAGGCTTCTGTTTTCAGTGGACAACTTTTCACAGTTATCCACAATTCCAAAGGCATTGAGACCATCACTCAGCTGCTCAGTAATTTTTAATACCCCAGTTTTATAGAATGTGCAGCTATCAAGACAAACTGAAAAGCACACACATGCTGTCCTATAGAAAAAATACTCCCTGCATGTAGCCAGTAACATGCTTTGCAGTACACATAAGCTAATTACATTGCTCCAGGATAGTTATCTCAACTGCAAATTCACAAACAAGGAAACCAAGACCCAGAAGGTTTAAGTAGCTTGGTTACCAGGAAATCTGCGGTTAAGAGACTGGTTCTAGAAATCTTTACCAAGTTCCTCATGCTCTAGTTACTGGGCTGCATTTCTGAAAGGATTCCCCCCTGAAGCACTGCTAGTTTACAACTACTCTCCTGGCTCTCTATTGCAGACCATTCGGTTTCTGTCTGAATTTGTTTGGTTGTTTTTGTTGACTGCAGCAGTGTCAACAGAGGCAATTCATCTCTTTTTTCTGCTTGTACATGCAGGAGGGTCTCTTTTAGGGAGCTGTCACATGTGACTAGCAAGTGGCATTACCAACACAGCACTTCTGTCCAGGATATTTTGAGGTGAGCCACTTAACAAGCTGCCTCTGCATTGGAGCTTTGTCTAGAAAGGTGGAATTCAAAACACTGCAAGGCCTGAACTGCCTCCTATAGATGAGCCATTTCCAAACGCTTTTTATATAGCACAGGGTAAGAGCATGCAGTTCAGCTGGTGTGCAGCAGGGTCATGTGTAGCTTATTTCAGTATCTTCAGTCCAAATGTCCTAGCAGAGCATGTGTTGAGCCATTCTGAAAATCTGGGCTCTTGTCTGAAGACAGGTCAGCCTGCATCTGGTTCCCCTTCAAATCTTTCCCAAAGTACAGACATCTGGACTTTTTCAAAGGCATGGAAGGCAATTAGGCATGCAGCTCCAAATGTTTCTCAAAATCTTCCCACAAACCTTAGAAATACAGACCCTCGTACTCATGCTGTTCTCCAAGTGCTGAAATAAGTGGAATTACAACAGTGTAAGATAGAAGTGAGGGGAGGAAATGACCCCATGAGAGGCCCTTCTGGATGGCAGTGGTGAAAATGAAGCTGTTAATCATCACACTGCATAGTGATGAGACTCCACTACCAGGCTAATAAATACTCTGATCCAGCATGGTATGGATGCACAACCAGATGTGTTCTTGTCTGCAGAGGCATCAGAGGGATTTCAAGGTCTGCAGTGGATCTGCTGGAGACAGAGGAATTATTGACAGTGTTAGCAATTTGAATAGTTAAATTGATGAGGGGCTCAGAGAAAATGTCAGTAAATTAGAAATCATTAGAGACGTTTGAAAACCATTAAGGTTGAGAATTTTGTTAAAGGACATGTTTATTGCAGCCATGACTGAACCCTGTTAGAAATGAAAAGACATTTTGTAATATCACTTGAATGAAAAACACTTGAATGACAAAACAAGGCCATAGATATGTCTGTAAGTACACACACACGCACATTCAAAAACACCGGTATGCTTCTAAAAGAGCAAAGTTTCAGATAAACAAAATGAGAGCAAGAATTTGAACAGGGTGGGGAGTTGAAACAGAAGTTTTTAACTTATTCCTGATTTCTTGGCTCAGGTATTGAACATAATAAAGAGAAAGCAGAACAACATGATTTTCTATTTGATTCTCCCTCCTGCTGCTCTGTGAATGGAAGTGGTGAAGCGCTGAGGATGGGGATAGTCCGTGGAGACAGGGGTCTGAAGAGAGAAGAGAAAGAAAAGGCATCTAAAGGCTTTCTACTTTTGTGCATTAAAAGTTTTAAATATTGTAAAACTAATTATTTTATGAGAAATGCACTGCTGTATTGTCTAATTGTGCAGACAAAACATATTTTTTTACTGTAATCAGCAGAAATCATCCATCTCTATAATGTTTCCCAAACTCTTGATTAGCACAAAGTTAATTTGGTGTTTATCAGTCCAAAGCAAGGGGAGCATGAAATTAAGTCAGGGCCAAATCTTCATTTCCCTCCTTCTACAACTTCTTTTTGACACAAACAGTCATTCTGTTCAATCATGGATGAGTTTAAAATTGATGATAACTTTCTGATTTCTGCTGTTATAGAGTATTTTCATGTTATTCAACGTGGCATTTTTCTCTGCTGCATTTTATTTATCCCTACCTCCAAACCTCCTGAATACTCTCTTAAATACAGCAGGTCCAATTTGACTTTGGCACAACTCCCTGGCTTTCCAACTTCCTTTCAAATTACAATTTTGGACTTATTTTCTAATAATACCAATAGGTGAAACGATGTTGAATGTAGATGTTTCTTTTCCAGTGTTATGACAAACCACAGTGGTCCAAGGAGTAGCCTCTTTCAGTTTCAAAGGCTGAACTTTATCCTCCTCAAATTGTAATATTCCCTCACTATTGTCTACAGTTTGTCTTGCTCTCCTGCATCAATATACGACACAGGCAGGGAGGCTGCACTTCTGAAACAGCCACATGGAGCCTTCAAGAGGCAGTCTGAAGCCACGTGAGGAGTCATCAGCAGGGTTTTTCAGTGATTATCACTCTCCTTGGGTTTTGTGCAGCTGGTGGAATGTGTTTTACTGAAGGTTAGCCATGATGAATGAACCCCATATGGGTTAAAATAAGTTGGGACATAACCTCATGTCTCCTAACAAGGTTTCCCTTCTGTAGAAGTTCATGGCACATCTCCTTCCATCTTCCTCCACTTTTTCTGCTTCTTAGGGAGGTGTGTTTTAAAGGGTCATGGTTCAAAGATATTTTATTACAAGTGAGTCACTTCACATGCAGAGCTGCTGTATGTCCCAGTCTTATTAAAACAATAAGGACTTTGCCCACTGAAAATGATGCCAACAGGCTCAAGCTTTACAATGCAAAATATATCACAATTTTTCTTGCTCCTGTTGCCTTTTCTCCCTGTTTTCCCTACAACATTAGTGGATGCTTCCATTCAAGAGACATTTAAAAAGGGCATTTTTTGAGGCCACTTGGAATTGCCTTTCTTGATACACCTGATATCCCTACTGAAATCTAATTTGCAGTATGGGGCTTTGTAATTTCATGCTAGAACAGCATAAAATGGAAGAATAACTCATCCAGAAGGAGAGGATTATGTAACAGTAGTGAAGGAGAATCAGCACAGACAGGGAAAATCCTTTGCAAACTGCTGGTTCTGCAGTGCTGTACACCTGCTAATTGGTTTCAAACAACAGGGAGACCCACTGCCAAGTAGCGGAAGGAAAGAGAGGGAGGAAATTATTAGAGCTCACCTAAATTAACTCACTTCACTAAAAGGTATATTGCAACTGAATAAAATCCTCCTGTGTTGTCCAAGCTCCACCTCATGAATGCCTGCTTTTCCTTCTGTGGAAAAGGCGTCACTGGTGTACTTCAGCCATTGAGAATGAAAAATGAGACATTTGGACTAGGGATGTGCTCAGCCTGTTACAAGTCATGACAGAGGCAGGACAGTAGAATTCTGGGAGAGCATGACACACTACATTACAGATTTGGTGTGAAAGTGTGCTGAGATAATGGAACCTATGGACTCTGCCCCAGGAAGGACATTCGTGAGCAAAGGAAAGGAATTGCTGGCAGACACACTGAAGAAACTTTGAAGATTGATAAGCTAGACTTGGAAACCTCATTAATTATTCCAATAAATGCATGCTCTAAAGGTGCCACAGATCTCCACTGGAGAATGGGGTAGACAGCCCTACACAGCCTACTTTGTTGTCCTGGTCTTGGAGTGCTTGAGGATGGGACTGGTGTGAGAAGAGCAATGACACTCAGTGCTGTATACAGCTATTCTAGGCTGCTCCTTACCTTGAAAACATCCACACTAGGGCACAGATAAAATATACTGCCAACCAAAGGTATACAAACACAAGTTCAGGGTGGAGAAAAAACAAGGTTGAGAATTGCCATGGATAGGATCAGGCGATAGGTGGGAGAGCCAAGGAGAGAGAGCCAGAGGAGCTCTGCTGCAAGAACACCCTACTAGTTTCACCATACCTTTTTTTTTTTTTATCCAGTATGAATTCTCCTTGCTGCTGCTAATGTTATGGGGATTGCTGTTTTATCGATCTATGCACCATGATTTCTACATTTGTCTCCTAAATGGTTACTGTTATCTAAGAATCTCATGTACAATTCAGCTGGAATTGCTCTAACATGCAGAATGCTATGTCATCTAAAAAGGGGGTCACGTCACTGTTCATAGCAGTTTTTTGAACATTCATTCAGTAAATATACAAAAAGCATCATCCTACCATGGTGCCTTTCACCACTCTGTTAAACACTTAGCTGTTTTGAACACTGATATTTTTCTGTGCACTGTTTACCTCTCAACTAGTTTTTAATGAAGTAACTTTACCCTAAAGCTCTTAATTGTCATAATAACATCTTCTGATACTTTTTTTCACATTATCTTGCAAGCAATGGCTGCCCAGTAGGAGCAGGCAGTTAGGAATCATGGAATAGTGACACTGTGTCACACTTGGGTAGGTTGAAAGCTCTGAGAGCACAGCAGTGTCCTGACACCTTGACCATGCTTTCTCCATTTAACAGGAAAACCTCTCTGGTTAATAAATTATCTTTCAAAAATGAAAACTTACAAAAGCAAAGATGGCACCTCTGAGAAACAGCAGCAGAGCTAGATACTGGAAATCAGAATTTACCAAAAGGAAGTGGAGATTTGGAGGATGAGTTCAGGTGACTGCAGGTCAGTGCAAGCTGTTTGGGGACATCAGTAGAAAACCTATATGGAGAAGTAGATGATGCCAGGGACACAGTCAAAGACAAAGACAACAAAATCAAACAATTAAAACTGCAGAGGAAAAATCTGCATTAAATCAATGATCAGCTGTAGGCAGAGATCATGGCAATGTCCTGACAGATTTCTCTATACTAAGGTAATAAAATGTATCATAAAATGGGTATATTAGAAGTAAGAAATATGAAAATGAGACATTTGGGATGCTTGCAAATCACACAGGAGTTGAAGGAGAAACTGTACGAGCAAGAAAAATTCAGAGCCTGCCAGTTAAGTAATGTATTAGAAGAACTTTACAAGCTCAGGGAAGTTCAGAGGAAGTGGTTTCTGCAAGTGAAAGGACAACTAGAAGAATTAGCTGAGAAAGATGCACTATTGGCAGTAGTGATGAAAACAAATACTGGCATGCTCCCCCTTTCTGCATAAGTATGCTGAAGGCAAGCTTCTGGAAAACTCCCTCTAACACAAAATTTCTTTTCTTACATTTGGAATATCTTAAAAGGTCTTGCCATAAGTAAGTTTGCTTTGGACTTTTAAGTTACTATTTATCAGTAACAACATTACACTATGTTCAGTGGCCGTATATTTGATATACTGGTGCAAATCCTTATTCATAGTTCAGTTTTAAAAATGCACTATTATCATTTTAAGAATAGCTATAAAGGCTCTGCAGAGCTGTCAACATCAATTTAGTGATTTCCCCTTGGACTGTTTCTGACTATGGCAGGGTTAAATTTCTTCACAATAGCTTGCATGGTGTTACATTTTAGATTTGTGATTAAAACAGGGATGTTTTTGTTATCACTGAGCATTGTTTACACAGTGTCAAGGCCTTTTCTGCTTCTCACACCGCCTCACCAGTGAGGAGGCTGAGGATGCACAAGAAATTTGCAGGGGACACAGCTGGGACAGCTGACCCCAACTGACCCACAGGATATTTCATACCATATGATGCCATGCTCAGCCATAAAACTGGGGGTGGGGCGTGGAGGAAAGGCAAGAGCTACCATTTCTCAGGCACTGGCTGGGCATTGGTCAGTTGGTGGTGAGCAAGTGTTCTCTTTTGCATCGCTTTTTTTACCTGGTTTACTGTTGTTTTGGTTTTTTTTCACCCTCTCTTTGTTTTTTGTACTTTCCTCCACCCCCTTATTAAAAAAATATTAAATTCCCTTTATCTCAATGCAGAAGTTTTCCTACTTTTACCCCTCTGATTCTACCCCTAGTCCTACTTTAGGGGAAGTGAACAAGCATCTGTGTGTTGCTCAGCTGCCTACCAGGGTGAAATCTTCTGTGCATTAATACATGAGCTCATGTGGGTTTTTTTTAGAAGCAAGTAAACTTTAGGTTCTGAGCATAGTTTTTTAAAATTTGATTGTTAACTGTGAATATATTTTATAGTAAATAGCTGCATGTAGTAAAAACCCAACAGAGAACTCACTGCCTCAGGCAAAGGAGAAAAAAAATGCAGTTTGTGGCAATCTGACTGAAAGTGGGCAACGTACAGTACTTCATCCATGATCCTGGAATCTACTTCCCTACTAGACTATCCGCTTTGAAATTTTTTCACCTACAGGTCACACTGCAGATTGCAGAGTATATGTTTTCTCCAGACTTTGAGAAAGGGCATGAAGGAGTTTAAAGATGTTGGAGAATATGTTAGTTTAGCTTGGTTAAGAAGGGCTTTCATTAGTGGACATTAATTCAGACAGTACATATCTACACACTTGGCTGAAACCTTTTGTTTGTGCATCTAGACACAATAGGCACTGGAACTTCTTAAATACAAATTAATAAATACATGTAATTTTTGTGGATGAAAAGTTAAATCCTAAAGTCCAACATGGCAGCTGGCCAACTGATAATTATGCTGAGCCTTCAGAATTATCCCTGACATTTATGCACAAAGCAGATAGATGAAGCTTGCCAGGCCGAAGCTGGCAAGTAAACCTGCACTGAACAAATATGATATAGGGAAAAAAATTCTGAGATGGTGAAGGGAAAGCTGTGATTCCAGGAAATCATTTTCACTGTAGCTCGTAGCAGCAGTAATGAAGAAAAATTCCAGAGATGAAAAGCCTAGAACAACCCCTTAATCTCTTCCGTGCCTGTCCTGTGTGACAAGTCACCCTTTGAAATCAGAAGAGATATAGTCTAGAAGAGGAAACTTTGAGCATAAAGAGATTGGGCAATGCTCAGAGGTAAGATGAAGTCAGAACAAAGACAAATTCTACTTAAGATGCTGAACTGTGACTCAGAGGAACTAAATTTTCTTCCTGCATCTTTCCTCCTTTTCCTCTGGCAAGTCAGTCTCTATATCTTGGTTCCCCAATGGAATAATGAAGCAGTAATATTAAATAGTATGTTTCTTTTCATACTTGAGAGCATTGGTTTGTTTGTTTGTGTGTTTTAAACTAGAATAGTTTTACAGAACTGAGGGAGAGACTTATAAGACAAATGGTTGAAAGAGCAAATGTGAGGGGGCAAAAAAGGAGCTGTGGCAAAGGCTGAGGGTAGGAATCTCTTACTCTGTAACAACAACGTCAGAACAGTTTATATAACCTAAAAATCGTTTAATCATAGAAAATGCCTGGTACAATTAAACCCCAATCTAAATAGAGACCTTTCAGTACTATTTTTATTGGATAATACTTACAATGAGATGTGTGTGAACTGCCTGTAAAGAGGTATTTGTGTCAAGGGAGTCTCAGTTGTATTACCTGAAATTCATCGACAATTGCACCTGTGCAAAGCCAGACTGATGTCACCTAATTCTTGTTGTTCCGTGTTGCAGAGAAAGCTATGAGAAAAACAAATGTTCGGTGGCATCAAGGCTAAAAAGGGCTCCAGAAATATGTCCTGAGAAGAGTCACAGAAGATAACTCTGCAACGGGGTGGATAGATTTGTTGCCCTCATTTTTCAGTAGATCTTCTCAACTAGCTTCAGCTGCTGTCCTGTATGCACATGTGCAGGATGTCCTGTATGCACACACACACATACAACGTGTGTCCTATAACACACACGAAATCTGAATGTGGCTTACACAAAACTTTAGAGGCTTCTGTAGGAGCCAACAGCAGCATTAGAGCTTCCAAATGTATTATACAGTATAAAATTGTTACTTCACGCAACACGTAAATATTTGGTGTAATTCTGCACAGAGAGAAAACAAATCTTTCTCTGGTTTTGATAAACTACTTCAATAGTGATTTTACAGGTCATACAAAAATAAGGGTTGTTTTTTTCTGTTAAACCAGGGATAAAGAACCTGAATGAAGAGAAATCGCATATGCAGCACTGTCCTTTCTACAATTTTCAGTCTTTAAGAATGATGCATAAAGGCTCAATCCTATGATGTTTCTGTCCTTCTCATCTTTATTTTAGGGGTAAAAAGGAAAGAAAATTATGTGCTTGGTTATCACAAAAAAAAAAAAAAAGAAAAAAGAAAAAAAAAAGAAAAAAAGAAAAAAAGAAAAGCAAAGTCTTATTTTTAATTCACACATTTTTCATGTTCTGAATATAGCTGAATTCCTGCAGAGGAAATCTGTATAATTACAGTCAGGTGACACCACCTTCGTGTTGAAGACACCAATATGTGCCAGAAAGTGCTACGTGACGCTATAAGCAGCAGAAGGGAAGGCAAGCAAGAAGTGACTTGAAACAGGTACCCGAGCATATGTGTTATACAGACCTGTTAGATCTGTGTGTTATACAAACTTTTGCTTTCTTTACAGTTTATTGGAATTTCGGTTAAAATCACATTTAGAGCAGCAATTCATTGCTTTTAAACAGTAATTTTCTTAATCTGAAAACTTTACATACTAAGATGATGAAAGCTAGTTTTTCTTACCTGCGTTTTTCTCATTACTCTTTCTAGCATTCATTCTTTCCAAGTGCATGAGGCCTCATGAGGGTTCATATGCACACATACTGCTGCAGTTATCCTAACCAGAAAGACCACTGTGTCTTAACAAGTTAGTGATCAATAGCACAGCTAACCTGAGACAGTGCAGGTTTGTGCTGTGCTGTACATCCAGCTTGGTGTGTGGCCTCTGGTGTGCTGCACACACTCACTGGCTGCAGGGGAAACCCAACCTGGTCATGGTAATGAAGGAGCCTGCTGGCAGCTCCCATGTGGCACCAGTGATTACCACTTGCATGCCCTGTATCTTAAAACATATTTCCATTTTTTCTTTCTCCAGTCTAATAGAAGATGGAAAGGAATGATGCACACTCTCTAAATATTGGGGGTTAATTTCTTCCTGTAAATTACATTATCTATATTGCATATTGCAGAAAGTGCTGAAGACCTTGACCAAAAGGACCTTTTTTGCTAAAACACTCTCTCCGTGTTCACAGATGATCCTTTGCTTGAATCGTGGCACTCAACAGGTGAGTTAATATCCCCTTGTTTGGGAGTGGAGAGGCAGTGTGGAGAGATCAAATCATTTATTGAGATCATAGAACCTATGGAAACTGAACCTAGATCTTCAACAAGTCTAATAAGATGCATATTGCTCTTCTACTTAAAGCAATTAGATTTAAACACAAGATCAGTATTTCAATAGAAGATTCCCTTGCAGGGAGAAATTAATTTTCTTCATTCACATACTCATGTGACTGAACACTGAGGTGTCACCTTATATGGTGACACCTAATAATCAGTGAACAGAAGTAGGAGTCAAGGAACGCTTGTAATATTTAGCTAGAGATATAGACTTATCCAGTCTTGATTTTGAGAATACTGAAACTACAGCTGACTCAGTATCCGATTTCTTTACCTCAAAACTGTCTCTAGTACCCCAACAACTTTGAGGTTGTTGGAAAAAACATGATAAAAAAGTTGCCAAATGTGCTGTATTTTCAGAGGTGCTGCACTCCTGCAGCTTCTACTAACTTCCCTGAGGCAGCTCTGCAGAGAAGCAAAACTGCTGTCCCTCTCTGGGCAGAGCTCCAGACAATATTCCTATAACAGCGCTGACTTCAAAGGAGGCTGAGGATTTGACCATCAAGAAACCAGAGCCAATACATATAAAAATCATTTCACTGCAGGCACCAAGTGTACTTCTGTGCAACTTGCCCTGTCCCCCATAACCTGTCACATTCAGCAAGAAAGGCTCTGGAGGAAAGATGGAAATAGTAAATCAGGCAGTTGAATTATTTGAAAATAATCTTTTCCAAAGGGAATATAGGCTACAGACTTTTAAGAAGACAGGACTTTAGAGCTGACAAGTGCATCTAGCATGTCAATGTGGTAATGAAGTTAGTTCTGCACTGTTTGGAAAACAGCAGATTTCCTTGCAAGGTTTGTGATTAAACATCTATCAGAAAATAATGATTTCCTTGCAAGCACTTAGGCACCAAATATAAAGACTTAGAGGAAGAGCCCACCAGAGAAAGAACCTACTAAATATCACTATTGAAAGCCACTGTTATCGTAGAGTCCTCATACTATTCACTGTTAATTATAAAAATTCATATCTGTAAAACTGAAGTACCCAGTGGGAGAAATATGCTATTTAATGTGCAGAAATCCTTTTACACACACACAAAAATGGTGCTATTATGTAAAAAACAGCAGTTGGAGAGAGGAGAGAGAGAGGATATTGACTTGCATGTATGTCTTGTTATTGAGGAGGATCAACAAATTAGCTAAATTACAAAGGAGAAAAACTATATTTTGCTGCATATGAATAAATATTTCTATAATGAACTTGAGTAAGCAGAAGAGCAATGGTTGCTTTCCTGGGAATGGAGTGGAAAAGGAAGAATTTCTGCCCAGAAATTCATATTTGCACTACTTGTGCCTATACAGAATATTAGATCAAATGGAAATGTATGAGTAAATTGAGTATGAAGTATTTGGAACAAATCTGAAAAAAAAAAATGGGCTCATTAAAATTACTCTAAAATAATACCCTTAACTTTTTGAAGGAAGTTGTTACTTCTTCCTGTGCCATTTTACTCCTATTTTTCATAGTTTCTTCTCTTCCATGTCTTAATTTATATTTTGGTGAGGAGAAATTTGGTGAGCAGACAAAAACAATTCCCTAATTTTTCTACATATTTATTTTATATTCTGAGAACAAACAAAACCTGAAACAAATACATGGAAATTCACACAGCACATGAACAGGATTCTTGTGATAACTATTCATAGCCTGGCATGGTACTAGGTACAAATATGGATATCATAACTGAGAATGCTATACATTCTCCTTCTGTGAGACTAGAATGCCAAAATCTACCTTTCTTTGGTCTTTATTTTCAAATAATGACTTCTAAATTCTGTATTTTTTAAAATGAGGCATTAGGGTATTCTCCTCTTTGAAAAATAATCTAGATAAAAAAGGATAATCTGATTCAATAGAAAAAATGTGAACATTTTATTTGCTAGATTTCTCTAGATAAGACACCAACTTCTTTTTGAATAAACAAACATGTTGATTTATTCACAGTTACTATGGGTAGGTATTTTTGCCAATCAAACATAACAGGTATATATTGTAGAACAACATCAAGAGGTGTTGAGAGGATGCAACTCAGTAAAAACAAACAGGTCATACACTTAGGCAAGAATAATGAACTGAAGAAAAATAAGGTGAGGAAGAACAAGCTAAATAATTGCATGTCAGACTTGGATGTTAACATAGATCATAAGATGAATAGAAGTGAGAAACGTTATGCTGCTGTAAAAAAGGCAAACCCTTGTTGCAACTTACAGCCTATGTTATCACCTAAAAAATATTTACCAATTTTTCAGCTCTTCTTGAAGATGTCTGCCCCAGCTGTGTTCAATTTTGGATACTTCAAGGAAGGTATTGTCCTACTGGGGAAAAGAACAGAGGAAGATAACAATAATTACCAGGCTTGCTAAAAGTGTAGTTGTAAAGAAAAGCTTAAGGAATTAGGATAAATTTAATCTGACAGTCCTCTGAACAGCTGAAGTTCAGAGAGAAGAAAACTAAGAGGTAAAACAACAGCAGCTTTCAAATACACAAAAGGTAATTTCAATACGAGGAACAAGCTGTTTTCTGTGTCTGCTGTGCACAGAACAGAGGCATTTTGCTCTCCTAACTGTTTGCTCATCTCTGTTGAAATGCTGTCTGGAAATGGACATGTTACCCAAATAACACTAAATACAGTCTTTTCACTGCTACAGTTTTCCTGGTGCATTAAAAATACACTTAAGAAATACAGTTTGGGAAAAGCATGGCAGAACTGGAGAAAAAGAAAAAATTCTTCCTATGATTGTAGATGACTCTCCTCCTCTGAAGCAGCTGCAGTCTGAAATTGTTTTCAAAGAACCTTCCCCTCACCTCTGTGCTGAATGAACCTACAGAAAAACCTTGCACAAGCTTGATTTGAAACGAAATAACTCCCATTTTGGAGTGGACTGTCTGATGAAGATGTAGTTATAAAATAAATAATGATTCAGCTCTAACTTTCAATTTTGTCCTTATTAAGTTGCTCAACCAGGTGTTGAAGCCAATAGAATTTGCTTTTCCTCTGCTGGAAAGCTATTTTGAGTGCAGCGTGACTGAAGAATAGCCACTTATTAGCTGCTCGGCAGTGCTCCTGGCTTTGCTGCTAGAATCCCCCACAATTGCTCGAACAACAGTTTTGCCAATACTCATCTAGCTCAATCAGCGGCTATAACACTGGAGTATGAAATTCTGCAGTGTTTGTGAGGGTGGTAAGTTGCCTGCTGTTTAACATCTCTGTTTCATGGTCTGGTGTCAGGAGGGAGGCATCGCTGATTCTGATCTTCAGTTTGTATTTAATTCTTTCTCTCTTCAATCAACTGAATTCTCTTGTAGTCTTAGTGCAGTTTCCATCCTCACTGAAATTCCTGGGTAATGTTGCTATGTGTTGTTATGGAGTTGCCATGTTTTATGCTGGAGCTATCTTTCCTTCATGATGGGGGATGTAATTCTTCTGCATCCCAACTGGACTGTGAGGATTAATTAAAGTTTGCAATGCACTGTGAATACCTTGTATGCCATTGAAGTGGAAATTATTGTTTATTACAGCCACTCTGAATGCCATCTGGGATTTCCATGTTCCTGTTTCAGCTCAGTTGTACGTTACCAAGCTCAATCTGGTACCATGAACAAAAGATTAGCACGGCAGTCTCTTGTTCTGTGTTTGGTGCTGTGTCCAGCCCTTGTGTAAGTCCGCATACATCCCGAGAAGCTGTGCTTAGCACACTGGAGCTCCAAAGGCTTTTATGTAGCTGAAGCCTGCAACATCCCTTTCTTTTTTCTGCACTTCCACTCTGGTATGGGTTGGATCCACAAAGCAGCGGATCCCTCTGGCCTTCTCCACTGTCACCCTTGCCTGCAAGCCAGCTTTGTGAGACTGTAAGGAATGATGGTGAAATTGGACTGCATTTTGTAAAAGATGCTTTTTCCCACGCAACAGAATTGTACCTTTTTGGTGGTATCTAAAATCCCATGTGCACATGATGAAAAGGGCTGAGATCCAAGCCAGTAATGCATAGCCATCCCACAATATTCTAGTATGTTTGCGATACCTACAAAACTTAACCCCAAACCTGTTTTGCGAGTTCACTGTAAGATCCTCTGCAAGGTCAGGGAGTATCTCTGAACTACAAAAACCACAACTATGATTTGTTATTCTGCTTTTATGCACCAGCTTTAGCTTAGCTAAGAGTACATTTTAAAACACATTCTTGTGACTTCACTGTCTTTGTAAGCCACAATAAGCAAATGGGGTTAAATGACTGTGGGAACTCACCCAGTATCACGAGAGATACTCAAAATGGCACAAAACGTAACCACCCCACTCACTTGTGAGCTTTCCCTGGGGAACAGATGAGCTAACAAAGAACTTAAAGTTTACTTCCTAACTGAAGGATTCTATTATGTATCTTATCTAAATAAACTGGGAGGCTTGACCTTCCTAGGAGTGCACCATTTTCACAGAGGTACAAGTGCAGTCCTCTGATCACACCAGTTATTGCCATTTACATCTTGCAGGTCTGACAGATTTCAGTTTTAGAGTCAGACCCCGGTGCTGAGTGCTAAATAAATACTCACCAAAAGTTAGGTGTTATCCATCTGATAACATTTGTGTTCTCTCACTCCTTCATAGTATTAGATTCTCCTCCACCTTTCAAGTGTCCCTTCTGGCTTTTTGTACAAGCACAAAATTATATTTGGCAGGAATTCTTCTGTAACTTGTCCTCAGTGAAGACAGCATCATGTGCATTACTCTCTTCCTCTGCCACCCTGAGACATTATTTTCTGATTTTATGAATAAAAGCTTAGGTGCCATCTACACTTTCACATTCTGGAGCCAGCCTAGCGAGCAGTGCCTATTTCATAATTTTCAAGTAACCACACCGTGTGGATGCATATCTGTTTGTCTCTACACATGTCCAACCAGCCATCCTGTCATAATCAATTTTTACTTAATATCTTCAGAAATAATAAGCTCTTAACAATTCCATAAAAAGTGGTTACAGAAAATGAACTCTATTAAGTGTCCCCACCAGGCAAAGGTTTCAGCAAAGGTAAAAGTCACCTTTGGCATTTGGGCTGCTATTGGGGAACCAGCATGAAGAGCTCAGAAACATGGATTATCTCTTACACAGCCAGTAGCAAGGGAGATGAGACTATAAAAAATGCAAACAGAAAGTTCCAGGTGAAATTTCAGAGAATACAGGGCTTGTGACAAATCTGAAGGATAGATGAAGAACTGGGAACAACAGAGAAGAGACTGGAAATCAGAATGGAAGAATTATACAGCAGAAACTGACACCTAAATGTTTATTACAAGATAAACACAATTTATTGTCATTATGGCTTCTTTGATTACCTTTCAACCTTTTCTTAACGATGCCCATATGTTGCAAATAAGAAGGTTTTATGACTTCTGTTCTCTCACCTTTCCCATGGCTTACATTCCCACTTTAATTAATACATTGACATCAGATGCCTCACCTAATGCTCTTGTCCCAGTACTCCATTTGTGGTAATCCCTGGAGACCCTGTTCCAGTGATGTTCACCAGGTGGCGAAGCTGGCACTGCTGCGCTGTTTCCAGGCCATCTGTAGGTACCGATTTAAGGGGCCAGGGGCCTTTTTTAACAACAAATACTTGGAAAATGCTTAAAATGGCTTATAATGGTGAGAAAAAAAATGTTATTAGATTCTATGTGGATTTCCTGAGAACAATAATAAAAGAGGAAAATATAATATGCAGTGAGGAAATGGTAGCGCTGTAAGGAAGGGGCAATGCTCCCTTTAGTTACTGTGTATCTCTGGATGAGGAAAACAAATGTCAAGAATCTATGAATTAATACTTTCTTTTTCTGTTGATATAAATTTCATAGGGAAAACAACATTTTCTCCCTCTGATCTCTTTGAAATTATTGTGACTAGATGAGGTCTTGGAATGAAATCCATGGTGAGTAAAACTGTGACTGCACATGTCTTACCCCAAACCAATTTCCTAGCTTGTGTGCTTATAGATGTAAGAATATCACCGAAACTTGTAGTACTCTTTCCCCTCCAATCTGGCTTCACAATGTCAAGACTGTAATGATGCAGTAACGTCAAGACTTTCTCCCTTCAGAGGACTTGGAGGTGATGGTTGATGAAAAACTCACCATGAGCCAGCAATGACTACTCATAGCCCAAAAAGCCAACTGTGTCCTGCAGTGCATCAAAAGCAGTGTGGCCAGCAGGTCAAGGGACTCTCTTTCTCTACTCTGCTCTTGTGAGACCTCATCTGGAGTACTGCCTACAGTTCTGGTATCCCCAACATAAGAAGGACATGGAACTGTTGGAGCAAGTCCAGATGAGGGTCACAAAGTTGATAAGGGGACTAGAGCAGCTCCTCTACAAAGACTAAGAAAGTTGGGGCTATTCAGCCTGGAGAAGGTTGCACGGAGACCTCATAGCAACTTTGCAGTACTTGAAGGGGACCTACAGGAAAGCCAGAGAGGGCTTCATCAGGAACTGTAGGGACAGGACAAGGAGCAATGGGTACAAATTGAAAGAGGGTAAATTTAGCTTAGATATTAAAATAATTTCTTTACTGTGAGGGTGGTGAGGCACTGGAAGAACTTACCCTGAGAATTTGTGTATACCGCATCCCTGTTGGTGTTAAAGGCCAAGCTGGATAAGTCCTTGAGTCGTCTAATGTGAGGTGCCCCAGCCCATGGCAGGGGCGTTGGGACTAGATGATCTTTAAGGTCCTCTACGGCCCTCAGCATCCTATGAATCTATGATTCTGTGTAATTATGGAGATAAGCATTGACCCTCTTCCTGCTTTAACCAGATCAGCTCAAGAAACGTCTATCCTTTATTTATTGAAACTCTGTATACATTGTATACATACAATATAAAGAAACTGAGTTTTGTGAAAGATGCTACATCTGGATAGCATTTGTTATAAACTACTGTAACTGTAGCAGCTCTCAAGCTTTGTACAGACAGGGCACATGTCGGACATTGTAAGCGCTGAATGTTCTTAATCACTTTGTTTAAAATTACTTTGCATTGCCTCTTCCTATTGTGTGCTGTCTCTACTGAGAGGCCTATGCAAGAAACAACGAAAAAAAATTAGTCCCTTTACCTCCTTCTAGCAATCTTAACTCCTTATCCATGAAAAAAGCCAAAATTCATCAAGAGACAAGCTTAAGAAAAAAAAAAGGATGGGGGGGGGGGGGAATTTACAGTGCTTTTTAAATAGAAAAGGTTGATGCCTTTTCAGGTTTGGTTTCTTTTTTAGTGACAAGAAGGATGGAAGAACGATTTGCTTCTTTAATGGTTTTGCAGGTTTACATGAATTCCGCTTCCAGCAGAGGAAGTACTGACAGGATTAAGAGAAATGTTAGAGCTGTTTCCATCAGCTGGTGAATTTCAGCTGGCACCACCTGTGTCCTTTCAGTGGCTCCCAATCCAGTACACCCTGTCCTACTCCTTTCTCTGAGTATCATGACATAGGCTGAGTAAGCTGGGGCTGTTCAGCCTGAAGAAGAGAGGGTTGTGTGAAGACCTCAGAGCAACTTCCCAGTGTCCAGGGCTTACAGGGAAGCCAGGGAGAGACTCTTCATCAGGAACTGTAGTGATAGGACATGGAATACTGGATACAAATTGGAAAGGGGGAAAATCAGCTATGATATTACGAAGAAATTCTTTACTGTGAGGGTGATAAGACAGGAACAGGTTGCCTAAGGAGGTTGCAGATGCCCCAACCCTGGAAGTGTTCAAAGCCAGGTTGGATGGGGCTCTCAGCAACCTGGTCCAGTGGGAGCTGTTCCTGTCCATGGCAGGGGAGTTGGAACTGGGTGATCTGTAAGGTCCATTCCAACCCCTGAACATTCTCTGATTCTATGAAGTAAAAAGATGAGGCTGTTCCCATTGGAAGTATAGTGTGTGTGTGTGTGGGGGGAAGCAAAAAAAAAAGCTGGTGCTATATTTGGAGCATTCCTAATTGCACTGTTCTATTTCTAGCTGCCAAAATCCGTGCTAGAATTTTAATTAAGGGCTAAAATTATGCCGCAGATCCTGACAACAGGAAACAGCCCTAACAACGGGAAACAGTTCTGTTATTTAAACAGACTTTGGAATAATCAGACTTTATCTCCCGAAGCGGCACTCGAAAGAATATTAAAGCTGCTTTTGTTCTCCCGCAAAAGGGCTGCGCTTGCTCGGCAAGCTTTGGGAAACCATTAGGGCCAGGACAGGCAATGGGTCGTTCCCTTTCACACACGGCCCCCGTGGCCGGCAGGGAGCGGGCCGGCAGGGCCCCGCGCTCCTCACCCCACACGCCCCCGGCCACAGAGCCCCCTGCCCGCGGGGCGCCCCGGGCGGCGGGAGCAGCGCCCCCGGCACAAGATGGCGGCCTGAGGCGCCGCTCCTGCTCCGCCGGCCCCGCAGCGCCCCCTACCGCCCGCAGCGCCCCCGCAGCGCCGCGCTCCGCTGCGGCGGCCGCAGAGCACAACGGCGCCTGCGCGGGAGGACTCCCCGCCCCTCCCTGCGCGAGGACAGGCGCGTGCGCAGGAGGGCGCCGCTGCGCTGCCCCCGGGGCGGGGGCGGGGCCGGGGCCGAGCGGGTCACGTGACGCGCGGCTTGCGCTGAGTGACGGGCGGCGCCGGACCGGGATCGGCACCGGGATCGGGATCGGAACCGGGATCGGCACCGGCACCGGGATCGGCGGCCTGGCGGGGCGGGAGGAGGAGGAGGAGGAAGGGTCTCGGCCCCGGCGAGGCGCCATGGCGACCACCGTCAGCACCCAGCGGGGCCCGGTGAGTGCTGCGGGCGCGGGGTCCCCTCAGGGCCGTGTCCCGGCACCGCTCCCCGCGCGGGGCAGGCGGGCCCCGGCTCGGGGCGACCCCGATGGGCTGCGCGGTCCGGCCCTCCCGGCCCAGCCCCTGCCGCGCCGCTCTGCGAGCGAGACTCCGTGTGTTCCGCCTTGCCCCCGCTCCGGCCGCGGCTGGGGGGAGACAGGAAAAGCCCTCTCTTCTTCTCTGCTGGGGGGCGAGAGGAGGAAAGTCTGCCTCTCCTCCCAGCTCCCCGCCGGGCTTCGGGAGAGGACAGGGGAAAGTCCTTCCTCTCTTTGTCCAGAGGCCTTCCCGAGCAGGGAGCGGCTTAAACTAAACCGAACCTAAACCGCTTTCCCAGGGAAGCGGAGAGCAGCTCTCTGCGCTCGCGGGGCACGGTCGGGCCTCTGTCCCTGGAACCGCCGCCCAAGGGCTGGAACGACGCATCCAGTATGGGATGTAGGCGTGCGTGTTGGACGGGAGACACTGAGCAGTCGTAAAAACAATTTACAGCCTTCTGGGAGGTGGAGCTCACAGTTTATTGGGAATATGTTATTGTCTGGTTTTGCCCCGGGATAATCATGCCTCATACCGGGATGTTCCGCCGTGTAGTGTATAACATCAGCTCTCGACTGATGTGCTGTTCCTGTCTGTTCCTCGTGTCCGGAAGGATCTGACAGTAATTGACAGTATGATATTGCTTTGAAAGTGAACTGAGACCTTTTTTGGACAATCAGTTTAAACGGCTGTGTTTTATTTAGTAGAAACAGCTACTCTTTTTGTTACATCTGCAGAACCTTGTAAAAAGACCAGCGAGGTGAATTATGAAATTGTTAATCTTGAAGACCCGTGTTACTGTCTGTTGTCATAACAGTAATATTATATGATCATCAGTTTAATTCCTTAAAATGCCTTATTTGTCTGGCCTTCCAGAATAGGTTAATTTTATACTGGATTGTGATGATGGTTGGAATAAAAGTTTTAGATGGAAAATTAAGGTGGAAAAGTAAATTAAGTTTTTTGTTGCTCATTATAGTATCATTAAAAAACAACTGTTCTTGTTGTATCTGTGGTGACTTAGGCAGTTTCTAAGCCCAAAGGTTTGATGTGTGTGTGATTGCATCCAAATAGAATTCAGTCAATATATAACAGATTTCACTCAAAAAAGCTCAAAATAATATAAATTTCTGAAAAATAGTCAGAGTCTGTTTAATAGGAACTTCGCTTTTAGTTAGCCTTTAGTTTTATGTTTAGAGAGAGTTGGGGATATTGAGGGAATTGGTAACAAACACAATGGTGTGACTGAAGGTGAATGGTAGTCCTGATTTGCAGAGATGTGAAATTGTGCAGATATTTCTGTCCCTGAATTGGGGTGGCATTTCTTTCTGGGAGAAGTTTTGCTTGCCTGTGGTGCTAAACACCTTGTTGGCATTGAGTGGAGTACTTTTGATGTCTGCTTGTTTTGGCTTGGTGAAACTTCCTGGGCTCAGCCAAAATTTTAGTGAGAACCTTAAACATCATCTCAAACGTCATGTTTGAGTATCATAACTGCCAAATCTTAAATTTTTCAAGGGCGCTGCATCTCAGACATAGAATGTGTTTCTTCTAGATGTCTTGCTTTACAGTTTCCCAGGTACTCCTGTATAATCTCTTGGCAGTCTTTTGTTTCCTGAACTTGATTGAAGCTGGGCAAATGGAAAGGTGTGTGATGATTTATCTTGTGCAACTTTGGCTTTCTGGATTTTGGGCTTTGGGGTTTTTAGTGA